ATTATATTCGTTTCCTCTTATTACTAATAGTAGTAGTATCGATCTCTAGCTTCGCTTATAGGATACCCTCGAATTAGGGGTATAGAGCTAAGTCGATACTATCGAACTTTTCGGGTTTCGGTATACGTTACTTTATAGCTATAGTTAGCTCCGGAGTTATCGATCGTATCATATCGATTAAGGTTAGTACTACTAGTAGTACTAGCTATATATTTCGTCGTTTTATATTTTCGATCCTACTAGCTAAAGTAGCTATCGAACTTGCTTATTATATTACTAATTTAGTAACTTATTATCTTTATGCCTCGAAGGTATCTAACAGCTACTAGAGGGGCTATTCTTCTGCTATCGTGAATCGTATATTCTAGCGTTATCGTAGTTACTACTTATATAGTAGTTATATAAATGGCCGGATCTACTATATATAGTCCGAGGCGTCTGTCTTTATATCGTAGGTATACGTATAGTAATAATAAGGCTAGGGTACTAGCTTTCTTACGTACGTATATTATCTACTGCTCCAAAGCAGATCCTCCTTCGTTTAATTAAGAATATTAAACGTAAGTAAGGCAGCCGGATCTACTATATATAATCCGAGGCGTCTATCTCTATATTATAGGTATACGTATAGCAGTAGTAAGGCTAGAGTACTAGCTTTCTTACGTTCGCGTATTATCTACCGCTCGAAAGCAGATCCTCTTTCGTTTAGTTAAGAATATTAGGAATAAGTTAATTCTAATATTATAAGGCGAATATAAAGTATATAGTATATAAGCTCGTCTATATTATAAGAAGAATTAACTAAGGAGGGAAGGGAGGAATAAGAGTCTCTCTTCGAAGAAAAGATAATGCCACGGCCGCTAGTGGCAGTGGCATCGGTACACGTATGACCATAAGTCAGGTACCAGCGTAGACGCCTCAGGCGTAAGCATACTAACGGGTATAACCCGTCACAAGTGTCGAAGAGGTTCTTAATAACATAGATAACTTCTCTGTTATAGAATAAGATTAAGGTATATATAATATATAGAGCTATTTATATAAGGCTTATCAAAAATAATCAAGTTCTGATTATTGATTATAATTAAACCTAATCTAATCAAAGGTCGAAAATACCTAATCTAATCTAATCTAATCATAATCGATTAGAATCGATTATATTCAATTATCTTGATTTTTTTTGACATACTGCTATATATGCGTTAAGCTTTAATCCAGCGGGGATGTTAGTCGGAGTATATTTATAACTGAAGGGAATAGCAATCGATTTGAGCCAGGTGTTACTCTTGATACGAAAATAATAAGCGGAGGCTCGCAATCTTTACAAGAAAATGTTAAAATCGGGGACGGGATTCGATTTGGCATCATCAAAACTGACTGTCTATATCATAATGATGCAGACACTCATAAGATGAATGAGGGCGGCATCGGTAGCGAAGCACTCTTCGCAATTGTGGATTATATCCAGGTAATGAAGTTGATGGGAATATCAATGGTATCACGCTATTCGGTCGTCTGACGATCTGACTCTCGCTCGGATTGCGGATTTCCAAGCCCACGTCATACATCGTTTTCGACGGATCGAAGAGCAGCGCCTTAAAATCTACAACAACACGGAAACATATGCTTGCGGAACATCTCACATTAGCCATCGTGTCTATCGCATAACCAGACTCTCCCTCCTCGAATCTACCCTTCAAAGCTTCCACGATGTTGACATCTGGCGATCTAGTTGAGGTGTAGGTTGCAGTCAAAAGGCGCCTATTAAAGTCCGAATATCGTCTAAAATTTCGGGTCTACATTTTTCCCTGGTCGTAAGTTCTCACGACTCTAGTCTTAATGTACCGATTCGATCAGATAGTCTGAAAACAGAGATGAAGATCTACGGCCAGGGAGACTAAACGAAATATAATATATAAATTAGAAAACTTTGAAAGAAAGGGGACGCACTCCCCCCGATCACTAGACAAGCGAAGTGCTTTAAAGCTATATACGACCTACTGCACACGATGATCAGGACATAGCGCGTCTAGCTTACGGTAAAGAAGAACTGGGTAGGGTAGGTAGGTATGTTTCTCGATTCGCTTGTTCCATGCGCCCTCAGCTTATGAGCGTCGCTTATCGTATATGATGCGAAATTCATGATTCTGAAATTTAGCCCTACATTCTATCAGATACAACCAGCACAACTGTACAATGTTGCACTATTGGTTTGAGGAATCCTCGTGCCTTGATGCTTCTATCGCTCGTCGAAGCCGTGAACACAAATACTATTTCTTGCCCGATGTAGTATCCCTCGAGCGTAAAAGATGAACCAGGATTTCAGAAAGTGCAATTCATCATCTCCATGCAATAATCAAGACGACTCAGTCGATTTGAATATGAGAAGCATCGAACAGTCGTGAATGCGGGCTCAAGCTGTCCGAACGGCGGCCGTGTACGATGTCGGGAAGAAGCTCGATAAAGCAAATCATGACATCCGTTGATTGTACCGATCGGGAGGCAAGGGTTTGGTGTTGTCTTTCAGTGTCATCTAACAGCTTCGTATTTAGTGATGATTTTTATACACTCTTGAGATGAAAGGCGAAAGGCGAAAGGCGAAAGGCGAAAGGCGAAAGACGAAAGACTTTGAAAGATAGATAGAAAGGACGGAGGTGGAGCGGGAAAAAGTTACCAGGATATCTTGGTGCCGACCACGTGATGAATAAGTTGCCCAGATTGCGCCGATGCCGACAATTGTTGCGATGATGCCAAAGACGATAACTAGAATATCGCCTAGTGTAGCCAGGGGTATTATCAGACTACTTGAGGAGCATCAAGTGATGCTTTGTTGGAAGATAGGTACCCATGAGTGAGAGAAGTGCCTTTGGCAAATCACGTGAGAAAAGGACAGCTGCCGATTTCTGTGCCTCGTGGAGCGATGTCGGGTTTGGTACTTGATATCCAGAAATGCCTTCCTAATTAAGTCAAAGTGAGGAACAAACACGGCCCATCCCATTCCATTCGAAAGCAGCGACGTTCCTGCACCCTTTGCTCTGCCGCGGTGAAGGTGGCTGAGTTGATGGGTCGCCAGTCAAACGAGGCGAGATGAGAACTCGAAGTCATGGGAGGGGTGGCTATGTTATGTATACGGCTGCCCAGTCCAACGAGTCGAGAAGAGAACCTCGACTAACAGTCGATAGTGATAGGGCGATGGTGAAGAAGTTTCTCGAAGTCGTGGGAAGACGTGGAACTGTTCCAAATATCAACGGAAGAAATTTCATTCCCTTCGGTACACAGATGAATGCGAGCTTGTATTGTGTTGAGAATTCAAGCCCCGTGGAACGCATCAGCGAGATGAGATTAAATGTCATGTAGAATTTGCTCATGTGTTTATACAGCGCTGCGCCAAGATACGATTGCAATGACTGTTAGTTCGCCCGAGTGCGATTTGACCTTGCTTCTCTCGACTGCTTGCTCTAGCCCGGTGCCTGGCGAGGTAATCTCAACTTTCCTCTCGGATTTCCCGTGTCATGAGATAGAGCGTAGGTGTGAGGTTCTTTCATCTGGCATTGAGAAGAGAATACACTTGAAAATATATGAAACTATCCTACTCATGATAGGAGATATGTATATATATATATATAGCATTCCTGATCATCTACCCGGTTTTCGTTCGGGATTTATGCTCTCCAGTCGGGGCTTTCGCATCACAGCAATTGCCGTTCTTCGGTATAAGAGCAGTGAAGTAGACCACTATCGACGAAATATGGCTTATGGGTTTCGAAAGTCTCTCAATCTAGGCTTGGGTACGGGGTAGAACCGGAGAAGTATGCCTTGTATACACCATGCCTTGCAGTGAACAACAGAAGAGAAGCCACGCAAACGTAACGGCCGACAAGTTCGCTAGGTGAGAAGCATCGAAATTTCAACAAGACCCGTGTGCTCCATTCAAATGCATGCGATTTACTCACGCCGTCGAGAAGGACCAGCAACGCGAGCTTCTCTCTCGACTTGCGTGTTGGCATGGGCAGGAAAAACCCAAGCGGGATGCTTTAAAGGCACGACACGATTTCATACATACCGTCGAGAAAGATCGTTCGCATAAGCTGACTGACTGGTGCCCATGTAGCAAATCGCGTGAGTGCCTACATAATTCATATGCCTGCGCCACCGCCATCACCATACCATGGGCTCGGTTTCTTGCATGAGTCTCGTGCGAATCACTTTCATGGGTCTTCTGACATAGAAAGCCTTACAGCGAACCACTCACTGCAGAGGAGACAGATCGGTAGTCCGAGTGCGTAGAATAGATAGATGCAGGGAAGTAGAATGGCTGAGAGAGTCTTGGGATAGATGTGTATTAAAAGTAAGACTGGATGGATGGACGACATGATGCAGAGGAATCGAGAGAATGAAAACTTCAGAAAGGCTTTATTTAGCTGGATAAAGGAAGCATCTGAGTTTCTTAAACACCTCGGAAAGTCAACATGTCCTGTTCTATTAGTTGCCGGACCGAGCCTGGAAATTACTAAGTCTGTTTATTTGAAAGATCGCCTGCCGTATCGATAAAGGCCCAGGAAATTGATTCGGAACGAATAATAGAAGTTGTGCTTTGGTTTTGCAGAGGAGTTCTCGTGCTATATATATAGACGTACATGGTGATAGATAGACAGGGGTTGTCTCGTGTATAAGTACCACCAGGACAGACTGACTGACTGAATGCTGAATGCTGAATGCTGATCGCTGATCGCTGATCGCTGATCGCTGATGGCGGGGTTCACGCGAGCGAGGAGGGGTGCCAAAAAAGCGAACATTAATTATAATTGGAGAGCGGGCGAGCGAGCGATCAATCCACGACTACCGTAGGTACAAATAGAAATCTAATGAGGAAACTAGAAGGAAGGTAATAAATAAATAAATGGATAGATAGATAGAAAATAATAGTAATTATCCAAAAGGAGGATATATCCATCCCTCTACCAAACTTCGAAAAAGTGAAGACAAAAAGCTAACATAATTAGTCGCACTGAGGATCGAACTCAGAACCATCTCGGGACATGTTCAGGGAGGTGTGAACGAGATATCATAACCATTAGACCATGCGACTGTAGCGGCTGCTGTTCTGGTATGTGCCGCCTTATTCATCGTCATACAAGAAAATAGCGCGGAAGAGGGGCTCAGGAGGAAAGTGGGATTCTGGCCATGAGGGAATTGATAGTGGGGGGTATATAAACTAGGTAGGCATATAGAATCAGTCCTCGCTTCACAATGTCAGTAAACATTGACTGGCCACAACATATCGATCGATACCTTGGCCATATTCATTCGTCCTCTATAAATGGATATGCTGAAAATAAAAAAAATAAAGATTACTTACTGTATTTGAGGCTCGAATCGAAGGAAATGAAAAGTGAAATGACACGCCCGCAAAGGGACCGTCCAACTGAAACGCCGCATGTAGAGTAAGTACACTTACTGCATTGAGCTAATCGTGAAATCAAGTGAAGGAGAGCATTCATGCGACGAACAAGTAGATAGATAGATAGATAGATAGATAGATAGATAGATACCTCAGACAGGGACAATTGATGACAGACAACAGAGAGAAGAACGACAAATGCACAGATGATACATACAAGACTGAGAACCGACGATTATACTCCTACCATACTACAATATATATATATATACATATATCAATACCTTCCTTGAACGTGTTGTACGATCAATTGGTGATTGAATTGCACTGTCAATTTAGGAGCTGGGGCACCTTGAGCTTCATTCGTTCGTTCGCCGTTCGTTCGTTCGTTCGCATTGTGTCGCATCGCAAACGCAACCAGGCGGGCAGGCAGGCCGAGAGAGAGCTCCCACCACCACCACCACCTCCACCTCATCTTCATCCTCATACTCCTCCTCTTCCACCCGTACAATACAACCAACCACATTCGCACCTTCGTTGCTCCCAATCAACCACCAAAAAACATCAATATTCCCCAATTCCATATCCCATTTCCCATTTCCCATTTCCTACCGCCTACCGGGAATCCCCCAACCACCAAGTCGAATGGCAGGACGATTCGTGCGCGCGTCGAAATATCGTAGGTCCTCCTATCTCGATTATCGGATGAGGAGGGGAGGGGACAACAAGGAAGACACGAGCCCAAGCTGACCTCCTCCCAGGACATGTATTTGGCAAATCCACACGCAAGGAAGGATGTTATGATAACCTCCATATCAGTCGCAATGCTTGGGACACGAATCTGGTGAAGGTGGGTTTGCCGTGCGCATGCGCCGTCTGCTTGCCCTCTGCAGACCAAGGGAGGACCAAGACCAGAGGAGAGAGCTGACAATACCAGGCAAACCCCGAATACCTCGCCGTCAATTGGGAAGCCAGTGGAGGAGGGGCTTTTGCCGTTATACCTGTGAATGAGAAGGGACGATTGCCAGAGCAGATTCCTCTGTTTAGAGGACACACGGGACCAGTATTGGATACGGATTGGTCGGTTGCCCTACATATAAACCAGGAGGAGGGAATCATGCTGACTATGGGAATAGGAATCCATTCAATGATCGACTCATTGCTTCTGCCTCCGATGATGGAAAGGTCTTTATATGGCAGGTCCCACAAGGCTTCTCCCTCTACTCCGATGCAGAAGAGCCAGCGGATGTTGCGCCCATGAGCAAATTGACGGGTCATTCGAGGTTCGCATATCTGCTTCTACATCACCATCAAAAGGATATCCTCTAACATCTAGCATACAGAAAAGTAGGACAAGTCCTCTTCAACCCCGCCGCAGAAAACATCCTCGCCTCCGCCTCGGGTGACTACACAATCAAGCTCTGGGACATCGAATCCGGTCAATCACACCTAAGCCTCAAACACGGCGATATAGTACAATCCCTCTCATGGAGCGCAAATGGGGCTATGCTGGCCACCACATCGCGAGACAAGAAATTGCGAGTTTGGGATGTGCGACAGGAACGTCCGGCGCATGAGGTCAGCGGGCATAGTGGCGCGAAGAATAGCAGAGTGGTTTGGATGGGCGAACATAACAGGTTGGCGACTACTGGTTTCTCGAAGATGAGTGATAGACAAATGGCGCTTTGGGACGTTGGTGCGCCGCAGGAACCATTGGGTGGTTTCAGCGTGTTGGATTCGGGGAGTGGTGTCTGCATGCCTTTCTGGGGTACGAAACTCTTTCGAATTTAACATGGGGAATTTGGCTGACAGTGAGTAGATGATGGAACACAGTGCTTGTATTTGGCGGGCAAGGGGTGAGTGGCTTATTCGGTGAGGGAGAGAGTTCATGCTGATGTGGAAATAGTGATGGCAACATTCGATACTTCGAATATGAAAACGACAAATTCGAGCCCCTCTCCGAATACAAATCTGGAGATCCGCAAAGAGGTCTGGCATTCGTTCCAAGACGTGGCATAAATGTAAGTGAAGTGGCAGATCGGAGAAGCGTGTCTAACAATCTCTACCCAGGTCCACGAGAACGAAGTCATGCGCGCATACAAAACCGTCAACGACAGCTACATCGAACCCATATCCTTCACCGTCCCACGCCGCGCCGAAGTCTTCCAATCCGATATTTTCCCACCAGCAATAGGCCTGAAAAGTGCCGTCTCAGCGAAAGACTGGCTGGCTGGAAAAGATGGAATACCTGCTAAGATTGATTTGGAGAGTGTTTATGAAGGAAAGGCACCCGTTGAGGTTGCGTCGGATTACAAGCCCATTCAGCCAGTCCAGGTCTCAGCTCCAGCACCAGTCCAGCCCGCTGCAGTGAAGAAGGAAGAACCAGCACCTACGCCGGTTCAAAGTAGAGCACCTCCACCAACCATGTCCGAACAGAAGGGCAGTATCGCAGCCATGGCGTCCAAGTTCCAAGATGATGAAGCGGATGAGGACGATGATGATGCGAGTAGTTTCGAGGAGATTTCCAAGCCGGTACAGAAACATATCCCAGCTGCTGCAGCCGCGAAACCCGTATCACCGATCAAAGTTGCAGCCCCTACGAAGACAGAACCACCGAAGCCATCTCCGGTGTCTCAAGCTCAAGCTCCAGCGCGATCTTACCAAGCGCCTGCAACTATCAAATCGCCCATTACCACCACTGCTCCCACATCATCTTCCACTCAGGGGCTCAACTTATCATCGGGATCTGGCGATTCCGTAGAGTCGTCACTAGCTCAAATCAAGGAACTCCTCCAAGCACAAACCCGCACCTTGAATGCACAGAGCGAGAAGATAGTCAATTTGACGCAAGAAGTGGATACGCTGAAGATGAGGGTTGGCAGTGGGACGCAGGATCAGAGTGAGCGGATTCGATTGCTTGAGTTGGAGTTGGAGAGTTTGAAGTCGTGAGCAAATTGAGATAGGCACGTATGAAGGATATACGTAAGGTGAGGTGAAGAGGAAAAGGGGTGGGAAGTGGGGATGGAAGTCGTGATGGATAGATATATTAGTGATTGCTTGAGGGAAGGGGAGGGGAAATAGACTGGTTGGCTGTTGGTAGTTTGTTAACAGTGATGTTGCGGTCGTTGAGAAGCAAGCGAGTGAGTGGATTGAGAAAATACTTCTTTTGGTGATTTGTACGGTTCCCTTAGCCCCACGTGTAACTTCTGCCGGGTGACCTGATATTAACAGCATCGGCCAAGTAACATATGTACTTGACCTCGACCTCAGAAGACAATACTCATCCCATCACATCGGTAGTCTTCCATCGCTAATCTCCCCCCCCCNCCCCCCGGCCTTCCTCCCTCGGCCCGGGATTTCCTCGCTAGTCGTTCGCGTTCGGAATGAAGATCCCCTGCCATCACCCTCTCTCTAACTACTCTTTCTTGTCGCCAGCGCTGGTGCCAGCGAGTATAGTCTCTACTTTCTTGACTTTGTCCGAGAAGGATTGGGATTTGTCAGTTCTGTGTTTTTTTCCTCCTCCCCCCAGGGGGGAATGAATAAGTTAGTATTTTTCTTTTCTTTTCCTTTGGGGTCTCTTTTCTTTTGAGTTCCTGTACGGTCTTTTGGGGGAAGGGAAGGGAGGGAGGGAAGGGAGGGAAGGAAGGGAGGGAAGGGAGGAAAGGAGGAAGTAAATACCGTGTCCCGGCTCGAATGTCAGTCTGGACGCGAACGACGCCGTTTTGATGCACGAGTGTGTGGGCTTGGCCGATGAGATGCATCACGGCGTCCCAGGATCCTTCTGTTGGGGTGGGTGGATAGGTCAGTATAGCTTAGCTGAGGATCAGGATAACGAGAAGGATACTGGAATGGAGGTTTGGGATGAGATGGGGTGGGATGATGGGAGGTTGGAGAATATGAGGAGTGAACATGTGCGAATTTCTTTCTTTCTTTCATTTCCATACGGATAGTAGGCAAAGAGAATCAAGGGGAAGGGGAAGGGGAAGTATGAGGAGTTTTTATAGGGCAATGCTCTTGAGAGAAGTTTAGAAGATGGAAGTTGTTTGTATAGTCGAAAGAAAGAGGAAATGAAGACAGAAATATACCGACGGTCGTCCCAGCACTATGCATGGTATAACTCAACCCACTTGCTTTCATGAGCCGTTGCACGGCCGCGACTTCATTGGAGACCGATGCTGTGGGTGTTCCGATCTATATTCACGTATTTATCATCAGCTTTGCCATTTTATCTCTTTCTCTTGATCTTTCTTTGTGAATACTATACTGTGGTCTGGGATATGTTTGATAAAGGATGAGAGAGAGTGAGGATGTGAAGGGGGGGGAATTGTAGAGGAGGAAGAGAGAACGTACAGGAATCAAGCAGAAATCCGCAATGCATGCCACTGGTGTTGCAAGGTTGGCGTAGTCTATTTCAGCTGAGGAGGACATTTCGTGAGGGATGTAAGATAGAAATGGTGACTGGTAGTATAATAGATCAGCTAATATAGGGATGAAGAGTCTATGAGTGAGAGGTAAGGTGCTTGAGAAGATAGATGGAGTTATGAGGATTTTAGAGTTTGTGTAGTAGCAGTGAGAGAAAAGATGTGGAAATGCGGCATAGAGTTTGGAGGGGCAGTAAGTCACGTGATATGAGGGGTCGTTGGGAATTCAGGTGAAAATCATAATGAAGATGAAATTGAAGATGAAAT